TATATATGGGAAGAGAGAGAGTGCATTTTGAACAATTCCTGACACACAATGTTCAATAATATGAGTGGCTATTAGCTTCAGTTTCTATTAAATCTCAACATAAAATCCTGTGGTTGTTTTCAAATTTGAAATCGTAGTTCTCCCAAAATATGAATTGCAGTTTTTTATCACTAGTGAAGTTTGATTAATACCATCCTGTCACTTTTCTTCCTGGGCTTTTCTTGGAAATGCAAAAAGTGCAAGGCCTATGAAAAGACTATGACACTAATAATGAACCCAAGGCAAATTTCTCTGCGTGCTTTAAAAACACAAAGAAAATCATGGTATGCAGTGCCATTGTATCTCGCTGCATGCATTTGTATAACTGATGTGTAAATGAATCAGTATCATTCAGTCCAACTGCTAAGGCTGCAAAAAGAATGACAGAAAATCAGTCTTTACCTATTACCCAGGATATAATGAGCATCTCCATCCATGAGAAGCAGGATGTTTTCATCCTGAACAGCTGTTTTGCATTATCTGTGCTGGTTTCATTAGGACGGAGGTTAGTGCCTTCAAATCTGTCAGCTGCGTTCATGACTAGAAGTCCCAGGAAAATGGTGAAGGAGGCTGCGTGTGCTACAAACTTCATGAATGGTCCACGCATTATCTTCCCCATCTGCCACAATGCACACCAAACAGAAACCTTAACTTTGTTTTGTATGCATTGCAAAACACACACACACACGCACCTACACATAAAAATAAACATCTGTACATTTCAATGTTCTTCTAAGATAGCTGTGTGAATTTACACAATTAGTAATAGAATAATAATTCTTATGTTGTTATGAATTTCAGTCGCATTCTTAACCTACATGTGATGATGTTTTTAATAACTGAATATATCAACTTTTCTGTCAAAAATAATTAAATTCTTAAAATATTATATTGGTGAAAAAATGCAGAACATAAAATCAGCATTTTTTGTTCAAAGAAAACTAGCTTAAAGGTCCTAAAGTATGGATGTAGATGCAATTAAATTATTCAACTGAATAGTCAGTTTACAGATCCATGGGTGCCGGGATACAGCAAATTTATGAAAATAACTGTAAGTAGGAAGAGTATTGAATAACTTTAATAACTAGTGACCTGGAAAATAAGAATAATTAATAGTAATAGTAGTAGTTATTTTGCAGGACTGGGGATTGAACAAAGGATCTTAGCACTGAGCCCCTTTAAAAAATATTTTTTAAAGGAGCATATCCCCAGTCCTTTTAAAAATATTTTTATTCTGAGACAGGCTGAGCTCAAACTTGTGCCATTCCTGCCTCAGCCTTCCAGAGTTCTGGACTTACAAAGTGAGTACCACCAGACTGGCTGACCTGGAAAGCTATTAAGAATAAGCATAAAGAATACTTTCCTTTAAAAATTATGTATCATACTCTGTTTAGGTATTTATAAATGACATACTTACCTACCCAGCAAACATAGAAATGAAAACTGTTAATGTTAGCCTAAACTAAAATAATATAAAATTCTAGTATTACCTATTTTTCTTATAATAAGCATACAACAAATGATATTTAGGTGATAATAGCAGAATAAGAACAAGTAAGGACAAAAAAATTTCGAGAAGGGGAAGAGAAAAAGCTTAAAGACTAACAAAACTAACTTTAAGCAAAATAAGGACTTGATGAAGATGTATAGGCTTTCGGTTGGATTTGGGCTAATTTTCCTGGATATTGTAGAAATTCTAAAGTATTTTAAATACATTTCACTAAAAGCATCAACGTAGGCAGAGCTATGTGCCCCCTATAAAAAATCCTCTGACTTGCGAATGATCTCTCTACCCAAGCTAATGAGAAAGATTGTAAAGTGGATTAGCATGCTTCAGAGGATAAATAATGGTCAGTAAAACAGATTCTCAATATGAGAAAACAGTTTTGACAGTGTCTATTTAATCTGATCATTTGCCTTAGTGTGTGTAAATGAAAATGGGAAACAGATGTCAGAAAGAAACATGAGCAGAGAAGAAATAGCGAGGACACCAGGCTAATCGGGATTCAATCAAAATTTATGAAATGCGTAATGCTAAGGACGGCCATGAATAGCCTGTGTCAAAGCACCAGATGCTGTAGAAGGCGTCGTGATTGTGTACGTACTGCTTATGTGAAAGGGAAGTTGCTCAGTTTAGAAAAGAGATTATCACTGAACCGGCCACAGAGTGGTGACAGGGAATTTAGAAGCCCTCTTCCCTTTTAAATAGGTTTAAATTTGTGAAGATTCAAAAAATACAAGTAGAACAGACTACATACATAAATGTAGCTTATGTTCAAATGAGAACGACATAGAAATTCTTTTTTTTTGCACAGTAATTTTGTCACTCCTATGAAAAGGAAAAATATAATTTTCTATAAAAAAATCTGTGCTATAGCTACTGTTTTAATAGCTCTTTCTTTTAAATTTATATTCCTCATTTATACTTTATGTATATGACATCAATTTTTAATATTACATATTTTAAGGTAAAAAAAAATCTATGATGATCAATTTCAATTTCATGAGAAAATCCCAGTTCACACAGCTCCTCTCATCATCACTGGAGATGGTCATGAAGACCCCTTGTGTAAAAGGAGATGATCATGAAGACCCCCTGTGTAAAGGACTTTGGGCCAGCTTTCTAGCATGAGTTATCTTGAGAGGTCCCCAAACAGCTAAAATACCAACTACGTGACTAAATAAGAAGATAATATGCTGGTAGTGGTGGTGTGTTTGTGATACAAACATCTGAAAATGAGATATGCCAATATTTAGGAATAGCAAATGATCAGCTCATGTTTCTACCCAACCTATAAACAGATGGTCCAGAAGACAGCTAGCTTTAGAATCATTTCAGTCTGCCTCTCAAATTTACACTGTAAACAGATCTAGACAGGTATCCTGGAAATCGTGAAGATCAGGATTATCAGCAATGCAGGACACAGACTTCTCGACCTGATGACAGAGAGATGGGCCAACATTCCTGAAGCTTTTTTTGAACAAAGAATTAAATGAAATACGTAAAAAAAGGTAACAAAGTTCATTTGAAAAGGTGAAAGTGAAGACAGAGGGAGAAAATGGCTCTGTAGAGCGAGCCTGAGCCGAGTGAAAGAGGAAAGAGTAAGACAAAAGGACACCCAGGAGAGGGGTTGGGGATTTAGCTCAGTGGCATAGCGCCTGCCTGGCAAGCACAAGGTCATGAGTTCAATTCCCGTTACCTGAAGAAAAAAAAACAACAAAAAAAAAGAAAAAGAACACCCAGGAGGACACGTGAGGGTTAGGGTTAGGGTTAGGCAGCGCAAAACAGAGGCCTTTCGAATATGTTTTCACCAAAACCTGAACAAGCTGATGTAGCTAAGAAAACAAGCCACTTTGCTATTGGGTCCTGGTGTACTTTGTTTTTAATATAAATATAAATATTTCACTAAAATAGGCACCATATTAAATGTTATATCATGATCCTTTATTTAATTATCGGCTCATATGAGCTAAAGAAAACACAAAATTCTTATTTCAAATACTGCTCAAAGAGAATCATCTTCTAGGATGTCATTTACAATATGAGTTCAGTGATACTAGGACCTCATTAAAAATAAATACAAAATTATATTCATATATGTGCCTAGAGAAGTCTTAAAAAAACCTAAGATAGTAATCAAGGCTTACTGTCATATATTAATAGGATATTACAGGTAAATTTTTTCTTCTTTCCGTTACTTTTTATGTTCCCAATAGCAACTGTGTATTATTTTGTAATATTAAAAAGAAAGATTATTTAAGCTTGTATCATTTGCTGGGATTCTCATTTTGGACATAGCATTTTTCCCTGATTAGACACACGTGAAGTAGACAACAGATCTGCAGGCTTCACAGACGCACCTTGCTGCATGGAGCACACCAGTAAATCAGAGCCAGGAAGGGCAGTCCAACGGCCACGCCAAGGACCACGAGAAATTTGACAGCCATTGTCTGCTGCCGTAAGCCAGAAAGGTTCTCATACCAGATGGACAGAAGCTGCTGCTGGCAGTTTGGATGAGCTACGAACTAGCGGGAAAGTGACAAAACATTTAGTAACTTGATTCAAGAAAGGTTCCGCGCAAGTTATTTCCATGCTTTACAATATTTAGTTTTGTGCTTTCCCATGGAAAACACAGTTAGAATTAAAAAACAAACATAAAACGGATCTAATTAACAGGCATCAAGCAAGACAGCAAAAAGTTCTAATGTGATTGTATAAATTTGAAGTTTCTAATTTATCAGACTTTTCCCATATGACAAATTAACTTTCTTGCAAAGCACAGAAATATGTTTTTGAAATTTAACATTACAAACATTATAAAAATGTCACTAATATTTTACACAAGGACATAGATATATCTACCTATCTATCATCTATCTATATCATTTTACCTAGAAAGGATGATGTGAAGATTATACTATCCCAGATGGATATTTTTCTAAAAATAGTTTTATACACCTCTCTTATATAAATTAAAATACCACAATTATTTTTTACTAATTTCCCAATTGTACAGAGATCTGTTTCTGGATGGACTGTTATGTTCTCCTGATAGCTTCTTTTGTTCTTGTGCCCAAAACTTCCTCAGTTAAAGCAGCTTTGATTTTCACTTTTTAATTTTTCAGAATTTTAAAATTATCATTTTAAATAAATTTTATTAACTTTTTATTTACATAACACAGAAAATAAATTTATTGAATATACAAAAAGCAACAACTCAAACTAAAAATTTAAGTAAAAACATGAAAATGTTATATAAAAGATTTGTTATAAAAAGGAGACTTAAGGTTAGTTAGTTTCAAAGGTAATAAACAAGATCTAACATTTGTCTGCTCTGAATGGTAAAGTTTGGTAGCACCCATTCTGTGGATACAAGACGCCTTCTTATATTCCAGTGACGTGTGTAAATTGGTGCATCTTTTCTTCAAAGGAAAACTTAGCAAATGCTTTCAAATTTCAAACTAAAAACCTGACATAGCAATTTCACATCTAGGAATTTTGTCTGCAGATAGAACTCAGGCAAGTAATTAAGCTGTATGTCTACTATACAAAAAGACAAAAAATTATAATAATCCAAATCTAAAGAATGTAATAAATATCTTTAAATAGTAAACTGACTAAATGGATAATAACACAACAATGTCGCCCGCAAAAAGATGAGGTAGATTCTTATTGGTTGATACATGAAGGTGTCCAGGGCTCACTTTGGTAGCACATAGACATGAAGGTATCCAAGATGCAAATTTGTGGAGAGAAATATTAACAAGGGGTTAATTGCTCTCCATTAAGAACATGACAGATGGAGAGGCAGCATGTCTGTACTGTTTGAATATTTAATATAACCAGGGGTTACCCTTATTAGAAAGAAGCCTACTTAAATAAAAAAATGTAAAGATCTTCTCCCTAAGAAAGCAGCCAGAACAGGAAGGGCTACGGAGTGAAGACAGAAACTAAAAATACTCTAAAATCAGCTGCAGGGGATTGAGGGAATTGAGGCAATGATCTGAAATTGGATCATATTAAGAAATAGGAAAATGGTTTTGAGTATGAATACTGTAGTGATGCTCCCAACACAGAAGAAATGCCTTTTCATACGGGCACACAAAGTCATTGTTATAGCATAACTTCAGTTAAAGAAAGCAGCAATCATAGTGATCTTCTGTACAATAAGTGCGTATTTAAAGACTGACAAGTAGTGTAGGTTAGATGCCTCACTAGCTAGGTATGATTCATTTAGATAGTTTGCTTATGATTCATGTAGAGAAACTGCTAATGAGAAGAATTCACCTCAGTCTAAAAATGCCAGGATTTATCTTTCCTTAGCATCAATAAGAAGTGAAATAATGAAAATGGGCTTCATGCCTGACCTTACTTTTTTTACTTCATATTTAATGGCAAGCTTTAAACGGCTGAGGTTTGGACGGCCCTGATCACCCGGCTGGCACGTCTCAACATCCCCGTTCAGAATGGCCTCGACTTCCTCCGTGTTTCTGCATAGGTCAAGGAGTCCAACCACAAAATCTTTGCACTGCATGGACAGCTTTTTGTAGTCATTCTAAAGAAAAGACAAAGCAAAACGAAAAATTATCACTCGTTACTGTGCTACACATAATTTTTCAGAGACGTTAAGGCCTGAAGATTTTAAAAAAAATCTAATTTTAGTTTTACTGTTTTCACATTCCAATTGCTGTTCTGCTGACTGAGCTCTGAAATATTTTATCATTCTATAATTTTCTTCAGACTTTAAAAAATGAAATTTTCCCCGAACATAGTAAAGTTATTTAAAATAGGTGTACTGCACCAAACTCACCTGTTGATTCAGGAGAAAGAGAAAATAAGCAACTGCTTCCATAGACTGATAATCACGTTCTCCACACATTACACCACTTATAGTCACAATCCCATCCCGACATGCACAGTATACATTAGATATATGTTTTTAAGATTTTAGTAAACTGTGTTGAGAAACAGAACATTTAGAAAGGTTCCAGAGAAAAGTGAGCACATATCAAGTATTGGTTTTAACAAATTGTTATTTAAAAAGTTTATGTGTCAAGCACCAGGTCAAAAGATGAGCTCTAAACTGCAAATTGAGATTCTTCTCTTTAGAGAAAAGATAGTTTAATTAAAACTGCTTTTATTGTTGGGGTTTTCTACTTTGTTGCCTATGATCTAATATTCTGTTGCAATTTCGAGAGTATGGGTCATATTCAAATTACCATAAATGCATGTCATTCTTCTATACAGCATCTATTCATATTTTCACTCAGATCTTTCCAATATTTTCTTTTCATTATTTACTTACACTGAAATAAGGTCATGTATGTCTGAATGCTAATCAAGAAAACCTATTCACTAGAGCTTGCTGTGTTACAAGGGGGTGATATCTCATTTAACCTTACAATAATCTTACTTAAGGTAAATAATGTGTCCCAAATCACTGAGCCAGTAGGAGTTAAAATCTGACTTTAAACCTAAATCTGTTTGGCCTCAAACTCTTTGCCTTTGGGAATAGTGCCATTTTATCTGTTATTTGTAGAAAGCTTTCCTACTTACATCTTCAAAATAAATGGGGTGGGGCCAAGCAGAACAAGTGCTATTCTCATCTTGCACATGAAAATAGGTTCTCTGAAGGCACAGTTTCAGTGGCAAAGTTTACTCTTAAAGTCAGCTTTGCAGATTCAAAGTGAATTGTCTCCCCATCCTAAAATTGTCGTGTATTATAGGGTGAAGAGGTCCCTGAGATTGACCATGAGAGGAATACGATGGAGAAATATGTGGGATTCTCGTGGTCAAGGAATAGATTGATATTTGGGGGAAGTCTCTCCGGGGCACAGCTTCTTGCTCGGTACGCGTAAGGCATCCACGTAGGCTGTTCTCTGTGACGTATGCTAAGTAAACTTCAAAGTTTAGTAGCTGCTGCACGGGGTGCAGTTTGCTAACTACAGATTCAAACCGTTTGTATGGAAGCACACTAACAAAGCAAACCACGTCATATCTGAGAAGGGCTCAGACTCTTTTTTTTTTTTTTCCAGTACCGGGAATCAAACTCTCGACCTTGCGCTTGCCAGGCAAGCACTGTGCGGCTGAGCTAAATCCCCAGCCCCCAGCTCAGATTCTTTTTAAGCAGTTCTCATTGGATAGTGCAAACAGGATTGTGAGGAAACAGCTTTGCACCTTTCATAACATAGCCAATTAGAATGATGGGGACTAATCTTCAGACGCAGCAGCGCATACTGACCAGGTCTCCTATAGCATAATGGTTAGCAGCCTGGGCTCCTACATTTGTAATCAAATCCCAACTTTTCACATATTAATCACATGACCTTAAATAAGTTAAAACACTTCTATAAGGGTTATTTTTAATTTTTACTCTCATTTTACAGATGAGAAAACTGCAACTTAGCAAGCTTAACAAAGAGTTGAAGGGATCATGCGTGCAAAGTGTTCAGCATGGTTGCTGAGAATGAAGCATTCACTAAACTATAATTATTTTGTTTTATGTCATCAAAGGCAAACCCTAAAAACTCGTTATCTCTAGATATCTATAAGATACCATGGAACAATACGAAATTTAATGCACTTGGCTTCTTTTGCTTACAAAACTCAATTTTAAAAGTGTGCTTAGTCCTTTTAAAGGTAACAAAGTAATAGCCAAAACCAGGGCTCTCTAGAATTCTATAGAAGGCTCAGGTGAAATCAGACATTTTGAAAGAACATGATCCTTCAAGTGTGAGCAACGCTGTTTAATAGAAGACATGCATTGAAGAAGTCATGTTCAGAATCTCTGTGGTATTTAATATCTGAATTTAAATTTTTTCCAACTCATTGCTAACTATTAAAACACTGTCAATTGAAAACACTTCTTTAAATAAAAGAAAAAGAGTAAGAATCTGCTTTTGGAAGTACAAACATCTTTCAACATAGCAATCCATTTGCAAACGTTTTAAGTTCCATATTTTAAGGTTTTTAAATTATCAGATCAGTTCACTTAAAACGAAATGTTGGGTACGTCATGAGTCAGTACACAATGCTGTGATTTTGGTTTCTTGAGAAGAAAACTGACAGTGACCGGCTGACTTCATTTTGGACCTTGTGTTTGAATCACACATCTACACCATACATAATAAATAAGACATGGATAATAAATTAGAAATAGATATTTGTCTACTAATCTCCCAGTGGAATCTTCCTGGGTAAAATGGGAGCAATGCTGTTGCCCACTTCCAAGAGTTGCTGTGGAAATTATACAGGGTAGCAAATGTCAGTTTCTTAGACAAAAGCAATGCTGATTAATGATAATTATTATTGTTACTATTTTCATTACTTCACAAACCATATCTAACTCTTCTGAGTCTCTTCATAAGGCTCTGCTAGCTAAAGTCAAGGCATCTTGGGATTCCGCGGTGTCATCTGAAAACACTGGAATAAAATGCATTCCTTCAACAAGTGTCCTGAGCACTGATGCTGTGATAGAAACCACAGTCTTCCTAAGATGGAAGTTGTGTTAAAAGGGATTATGTACATGACGAGCGTGATGAGGAATAGAATATCATTCTCCAGAGGGTGATGAATGGCCAGCCTGCTTGTGGGACCAGGTGTCACTCTGGGACTTTCCTGTCCTTCAGAATAATTGTCACTAAATAGCACAATGATCACCAGGCTCTGTCACCCTTGATGTGATAACTGACAAGCATTTACAGAGCACCTATGTGGGATTGTGAGGGCCCAAATGTGGGTTAGGTGGTACCCTATAGAAAGGTGGAAAATGGAATACAATTTTAAAACAACTTCAAAAACATTTTCCAAGATACATATGATGCTACTAACCTTTCTGTTGATTACTAACATCAGCAATGTCTGCTTATTTAACTCAATGCAGTGTTTGATAACCATCTTTTATTTTCCCTATCATAGGAATTCTAAGGCTCCACCGACACTACAAAGTTAGAAGAGCAAGGAAGAAGATAGCCAAGTGACTTCAGGGGCTAGAGACCCTCATAAAGAAGACAGGCACTCTTGACTTCCCCCTCTGATCGTGTCTTCTCATAGACCTAAAATTCTGCCAGGATGAGATTTTTTCTACTCATCCACTGCAAACTATGACAGGAAACTCAAAGCCAAGAACACACAAGCACACACTATTTCAGTGCAGTTGCAGTTTACATGTGCCTCTCCTCAATAGGTTCAAATGGCCTTCCAGACAGCGTTAGGTCTCACTAGTCTTTGAATCCTCACAGCCCAGTATGGTGTGAGGTACACAGTAGGCAATCAGCAAATTTTGTTGATTGGTATAAAGAAAGGAATATGGCTGGGTGAAAACCACACCTGGATTTGAATTCCTGCTTTGCCACTTGTTAACTATATAGTCCTGGAAAGGTTACCTCATTTTCTGGCCAATTCTGGAGAGTTTAAGTACTAATGGATTGGTAAAGTTAAAAGTGTAAGTAAGTTAGTCCTAAACCAATTCATAAAGCTTTACCAAAACTTCATTTCCTCTCCTTTGGCCAGGATGCAGGCTTGTGCATGCAATGCTGTGGCTCTGCTCTGCAGACTACTGCATGTGTGAAGAGACAGCCTGTGTCATCCCGTAAGGTGTGTGACAGTCACACCACCTTCCTGCCAACAAAAACTACTCCTCAGTTCACCCATTTTCTTAAAGAGTATTTATCTCACAAACAGTGCCAGACGCTTTTGACCGTTATACACCAGAACATAGCAACAGTTCAGAAACAGACATAGCAGTTTAGGCATTATCCTCTTTCTCTAAGTCAGGGGAGACGCATCTGGAGGGCCATGTGTGTGTCAATCCACAGACCTCTAGGAAGATGTGAAGAAGCTGGACACGCTCCAGCAAAGCTATTTATCCACATCTACAGAGATGAGAACCATCCCTGCTGCACAAAAGAAATGATTTTGGCAAAATAAAAGACAACAGGAATCAGGGATTTAGATCTTTTGCAGACGGGAACGGGACCTAGACATGGAGAGATCAGGAGAGAGGGAGGAGGAGGAAGAGGAAAATAAAAAGAACTAAGATATGTTAAATACATGCCCCTCCTCTCCAAGATAAATGTAAACATCATGTACTGCAAACATGTACTAGGAAAAAATAAAAAACACAAAAAAATGACTTAGGGAGCAATAAAAGGACACATTGTGTGTTACTACAGTCTAAAATGTAAATTCAGTTCAAAAGAAGGTTTAGAGACATAGTTGTAGGGATATATAGAGATGCTGAAAGAAATTGATCTCTTCCCTTTTAAGTTTGTCATCCCTGATCTGAGCTTAGATTTGATTCAAGGAGTGAAGCCAGGAGATTTGTTCTACGTACTTCTTAAGCATCCTAAGTCTAACCCATACTCAGGAGAAGAGGAACACACAGGGTGGGTAAAGCAAGAGTAGCTATCTCTTTGGGGGTGTTATGGTTTATGTCTATGTGTCCCCCCAATGCCTCATGCGGACATGGGGCAGGCTTTTAGAGTTTGAATATGGGTGTGAGAGCT